TGCCGGTTTTGATCTTTTTTTTCCAAAGAATGGCCTTACAGTACCCTCGGAGTCCTGAGCGTGATCTGGGGCTTCGCTCTGCTGGGTGCAAACACAGCATCTGCAGACATAAAATCGTGGCAGCATTTCACAAGTGAAATAAGAAGCCGTGTTAGAGATCTCAGAAGAAAACTGTGGAGTTTGGAGCATGGGATAAGGGATGGGGAGAAGAGAGTACATGCCTCTTATTTTAAACCCGTTTTTCTTTCCCTGTTTTTGGAATTAACTTACTCCGAACCACTCCCAAACAATACTCCAGAGCTGAGGTTTGGAACAGGGCAGCGTTTAGAGAAAATAAGAGGGTGTGGGTGGGCAAAGTGGAGGGAAGTGCTTCTAGAGTCATGCAGAATATTTTATTGCAGCCTAAGTCACTCAGTATGTGATGTTTCACTTAGTTACAGCGTTAAGATGACAAAGCTGTCTTGATTTTTGACCCAAGGTTTATAGCACTTGGGGTGCTGTCTCCAGCCAGAATGTCTAATAGCAACAGGGTGTTTATACTGCCTGTTTTCAGGCAGGCACCAGTCAAGCTTTTTTATCTTTATACGTAGATATAGAAATAGTTTTATTTTTAAAACAAATGTTGACTCACCAGGGTGCACAATTGACTTTTGAAAAAATAATACAGAAATGGGTGATGTAATGTGATTTGGGAAGTTGGCTCACAACTATGGTTATGACTTGAAGTTAATTAAATGATTCATGGTCCTTTTGATAAGAATACTTGCCTTAATAGTAGCATGTCAAATTTCATTTGATTTGGTTACCTCCACTCAGCATAACATTTATCTCCTGTATCACTATAAGCAGTGACTGGAGAAAGTACGAGCTAATGTTTTGGTTGAGGCTTGTTTTAAATCCCCTGAAATGAAAGATAGAACTTTTCATGTCAGCTTAAGCATGGGGAACTCCTGGGATCTTTTTTTGGTGAAAGAGGTGCTGGACTCTATTTGAAATCTGGAATTAAACTCAGTGAAATTGCTGTTCTGTCTCTCAAAAATTAAGACACTTGGGTATCTGCATTTGATAAAGTTGAATGGTTTCAGATTACCGTCTGTTATTGGGCATCTGTTCAAGTTCCTTACTGTACCTGCCCAGCAGTCTGAGGCATTACTTTTACAAAAGAAATGTTACTTCCCTTTCTGTGGGTGTGCCAGAGTTTTCAAAACAGAGCCCTATCTTTCTGACAGATCTGGAGTCCCCACATCTACCTGCCTTATGGTGATGGTTTCCTCCCGTGGTGGAGCACATAGTATATCTGTCCTCAGAGCTGAAGGTGTTGGGATAAGCTTGATTCCTTTGAGACTTACATGTAGAAAGTAACCAAACAAAGCATGTGCCCTTTAAACTCACCCTTCAAGGACAGATTTAAGATGAAAGCTCCCTTCTTTTTTTCCGCAAGTAAGGAAGACTGGATTATAAAGATAGTATATGGGAAGGAAAGGCAGGAAAACATGCTTATGTTTTACGCTTCCCGAATGGTGGCATTTAGCCTCCTAATGTTGCTCTTCCAAGTTTTCTAAACAAGAAATAGACATCCTTAGTACTGACATTGGTGTTGGTCCTAAAGTTACTTAAGGGTTCTGTGTAAGTGGTCTTACAGTGTGTATGTAACTGTTGTTTGGAAAGTCTGACAGTCAGTTTACTCGTTTGGGTTGAAATTGGGTAATGTGGTAACCTTGAAATGGTGAAGCAAAAGAAATTAAAGCAACAAATTTAAACAAATATTTAAAATTTAAGCAACAAATTTAAACAATGTCAGCTCTGCTTCTGGGACAGAAGGTGGACCAGACAATGGGAGGGGAAGACAAGGCTTCTAGAATAATATAATAATGCCCTCCTCCAACTCCAAAGTTCATTTTCAAAAGCGGTAATAAATGTGTTAAGAGTCAGCAAAAAATTACATATATTGAGTCTGGAGTTCTCTGAGAAAGGTGCTGAAATGCATCTCCTCTTCTGCTTGAACTGCACAGAGAAAAGTGTGCTGCAAATAAGAACTATGGCTCACCAAGACAAGTTAGGGACAGCATTTTCAATGGCATCCTGTTGTTAAGGATTAGCTGGTTAGTGTGAATTAGATTTATAGTTTCTATCATCACTGATTTGTATTTAGAAATGGGTAATGGATTTCTATGTATTTATTTAAATAAAACTGCAAGGCTGGTATAACTTTTTTTTTCTCCTTTGTTCCTAGAATTGGTTCCTTCAATAATGAGTAACATGCTGAATCCGGATGCTATTTTTTCAAACAATGAAATGAGCCTGTCGGACATAGAAATTTATGGTTTTGATTACGACTACACATTGGTCTTCTATTCTAAACATCTGCACACGTTGATCTTCAATGCTGCTCGAGATCTTCTTATTAATGAGCATCGGGTAAGTAAAATCAATGGAATAACAATAAACTTAGTAATTATTTATTATCTCTTTATTCCTAACGGGGTGGGGGGAGGGGGCACAACTCATCTTTTCATGCCTCAGTCCTAGCTTGGGTCCCTTACATTTTGTACAACAGCTATGTAGGAACCAGGGAATTCCTGGTTTATTCTCAGTGGCAGTTTTGAGCAGAGTGCAGTGTGACAGCTGTTAGGAATAGACTTCTGTTTGTTTTATTTTTAAATTGGTGGCGGCAGCGTGTTTGTGTTTTTTTGTTCCTGATTGTCAGTTATTGGAGTCACCTTAATAGATAAGAAGCTTAGAAGTTACCGTTACTTTGTTGTATGCATTGCTGTGAGTGCAGTGATTAATTTCCACATGGAATATTTTTAGCCTGGCTTCTTACGAGGTCTTTGATTGCGCTGTGTGCTTGCGAGGCGCCCTGTACGTGCCCGGCGTTCAGCGGTGTGCAGTGACACTGTGATCAGAGGCTGGGTACAGGAGACACCCAACTACGTGCTCAGCTCAGTGGTCCCCCCCGGGGGCGGAGGGGAGCTCTGTCCTGTTGCCTCCCCAAGCAGCGTGCTGTCATCGGTGACCAGTTGACATCCAAGCAGCTTGGAGCTGGTGGTTGTGTAGTTTGGGGATGGGAGAAGGGTACTGTGTGTCAGAAAGCCTGGGTGGAAATGGGTGACTTGGGAAACTGAAGGTATTGCTGGGGAGAAAGACGGAAGAAGGTGCGGGCTGAAGGAGGCAGTTTCTTGAACCACAGGGCTTGCAGGACAGTAAAAGACAAAACGTCCACAGCCTAAGTTATTAATAAAAGCTGCTTGTGTATTTTATACAACCTAAATCTGAATGGGTGGTGGTGCTCTACTTTCGTGTTTGAATCTAAAGGTTAGGAGCTATAAATAAACATCTATAATTATCTCTGGGAGAACAAACAAAACTTCATGGGTGCTACAAGCATATACAACTTGATCCCGCTAAGTTTTTGGCATGCTGTGGTAGCAATTTCTGTATAATGTATAAATACACTTTATTGAAGCTACCCGGTTCTTGCAAAAGTCAGCATTACCGTAGGAGTCAAGGTTAATTCTTGCTGACGATTAAAACTATGCTCTGTCGTTACTGTTTGAATGAATTCAGACAGTAATAACTTTCCAGTTTGTTTTGATTAAAATACCTTGAGTTGTAGGCAATGAAGCTGTGATTACTTTTTGAGACAACTTATTGAAATATATCCTCTCCTATTGGACTTTGCTGGGGGACAACAGTGTTTGAGAGCTCTTACTGTTAATGTTTTTCTTGCCTTCAACATTAGAAAAAGCTTCTAGATAGTATTGCCCTTTATGACTGTCACAGTCAACCTAAAAGATGGCTAATTTTGGTCATGGCAGCGTGAGGTAATTCATCAGAAACTGCAAAATACGATGTGGGAAGTAAGGAATTTTGAAGTGTGTCCAAGAAATAAACATCAATTTAATGCTAATCTTGGAGGTGGCAGCAGGTGTTGAATGTAAACTCTCGCTCTTGGGTTTATTTCTTTCCAAATGTACGCAGACATTGTGCTACCTTATCTGGCGTGCTGTTTCGGTCCAGATAGATCTATCCCTACCAAGAGTGGGGTAAGCAAACAGTGCAATTTTTATCATTATTTTGATTTGTGTGCCAAGATAGGCTCAATCTTTTTCTTGTATGTACTGGCATGCATGCAAGACGGTGGCTTTTTAGTAGAATAAATATAAGTAGGAAAGCCAAGCATGCAGAAATTTGGAAAGTCCGAAAGAAATTTCCTTGTTCATGCTTGATGTGGCTGCTTTGAGGCATGTGCAGGACGCTGGAGTTTTTAATTAATCACATACTGAATTATGTCCTGATGTTTGCCCTCGTCTTCTCTCCTGCTTCGTGTGCCCTGGCCAAATCCAGACATCTTCCCAATGTGTTTGTAGGCTGTTGATGGCGTTCTTTGTTTGGATCAGTAGCCTCCCCCATGTTTTCTGGAAGTGGTGGTAGGGTTGATCACTCAGAAGTTAGGAGAAAAGACTGTTGTCTCTAACTGTAGATGCCTGTGCCCAGGACAAGCACAATCTACATCAGTTGCGGAGCAAGTAGCCTTCAATACAGATAAAAAGTTTGTGGAGAAATTGCTATTTATTTATTTTTTTTTTTTCTAATAGCTAGTGACTCTATTGAAGGTGTATAATGTACTTTTTTCCCCCAAAGGCTTGTAAATTAGCCATATATGTGTGGAGACTGTTGTTGAGAAGGTGGAGAATGTGTTTGAGATACATTTGTCAAGTTCTAAGGCTGCTGTAGCCTGTGAGAGGAAAATGAAGGGTCAGCTTTCTGTTGATCAATCAAAGAAATGATAATTTTCTCAGGCCTTGTCAGAAATGACTGAGGTATTTTACCTTTTTTAAAAAACAAATGAACAAAACCATTGGCACACACTCTAATGTATTTTTTTTAATGGTTAACATGCTTAAAGCAGGACAAAATTACTATTGGCTGAAAATAGTCTTGTGTTGAAAAACATGTTAGAAAGCTCTCTCATAGGTGTTGTGAGCTACCAATGCTCTGTAAACAACCTGGGGAAAGTACATGACAGAGGGATTCAATTCATGCCCATCTAGTGGAAGATATCCCTGCCCATGGCGAGGGGGTTGGAACTAGATGGTCTTTAAGGTCCCTTCCAACCCCAACTGTTCTGTGATCTCTAAACCACAAGGTGTTAGAGATGCTGGCCAGGGTAAATGCAGTTGGGCCACTCTGGTGTTCTCCTGAGTGACTCACCTTGATGGTGTTTAATGCCCAACTTGCTTTCAGAGTCTGAACTTTGTGACACACTGTACCTTGGGGGAGGTCCCTGTTAGAGGTGCCTGGTTTCTCCAGGTAACATTAGCTGTTGTGAATTCTCTTCTTCCTTCCTTCTCATCAGTGTTTATTTGCAGTGCACTGTATCTTTAAACACCCATGGGGTCTGCATTTAAAACACAGCCTAAGATCAGGAGTGTGATCCACACATAGGGAGTCAAAATGGATGGCTCTGCTTTTTTCTTGAAAATGCCAGAGATTTTTTTGCTCCTGTTAATATTGATGATATAGTATTGATTTTTGCTTTCAGTAGAAGCGAATGGTAAAGTTCAGGTATTTCTAAATCAGGCCATGTTCTTGGGTTTCTAGCTAGAAGCTTGAGTTGGAAATTGCGTTTGTATAGTGCGTTTCTTGGTGACACTTCATCATGCAAGTCAACTCAGCTATTAAATTTTAGGCAGTTAATAATATTTAGTTTGTTTTCAAATGTTCCTGTATTAAAATAACTTTCTGAACAAGAGACTCATGTCCAAAGATGATCACTACAGAATACCTGAATGTCCAACTTCAGGTACCATGCTTGACTTGGATTTAAAACTTTGACCTTGAACTTTGGAAAAGTTTTTGTCTTGCACTACACATACGTTCCAGCAAAACTCACCCACCTACCAAAACCCCCTTTTAATGACTAGCGAAAATGAGGAGCGTAGAAGACTTCGGCTTTAAAGATTCTGCAGAAATGTTTTTAAAATGTGTTTTTGTTACGGGTTTAAAATAAAGTCACTTCCCTCTTTTCTTAGTATCCTGCAGAAATCCGAAAATACGATTATGATCCCAGCTTTGCAATCAGAGGACTTCACTATGATGTGCACCGGGTATGTAGGAATAACTTTGTGACGAGTTACGTAGCGCTGAGAACCTAGTCGTGGAAAATAAGCAGGGCTCTTATGTCTTTCCATTTTTCACCCTGCATTGATGTGTAAGTGTGGTGTTTCATATTTTTCTCTTTCATGGCATTAACTTTTTTCTTTTTTTATTTTAATACTTTTTAAGCATAAAGGATTTTGGTTGTTTTGTTCTTACTGTGGGCAGGGGGAAGAGTGCAACAGCGTAAACCTAAGCAAGCATCTGCTAGTAGGAAAAGATACTTCTTTATAACCTAGTTCAGGTCACTGGACAATGTTTCCCTGGTGATTTGGCAAGCCTGGGGTAAAAGCCATTGATAAAAGTAGTTTGGAAGCTTTGAAGGTGCTCAGGTGTTCTTGAGATGGAAAGATGATAGATCAAGTTGCTTTGATTTTTAAAAAAAAAAAAAAAAAAATTTCATGTCAGATGGTTGATGTGATAAAAACTGATTATTTTTTCTCCCCCCTACAAGGCATTATTAATGAAGATTGATGCTTTTCATTATATTCAGCTGGGAACAGTTTACAGGTAGGTAAAATTACTTCCCATTTTTAATAAAAAAATGCGTAGTCTTGTTCTTTGAATCTCTGAATTGCATTTATTAGTCACATCAGGAACAGTGCACTGACAAGCACAGAGGTGAATGAATATCGCAGCCTCGCTGGAAGGGGTTTTCTTTGCACCTCGGTGTGTACATGCAGGCATGGGCACACGTTTTCTGGCTGATAGAGTACAGCTGATGCCCCAGTTCGGAGCTGGGGGAGTTGGCAAGCTGGCTGGTCACATAGTGCTGACTCACTTTGTTTCCGGCTGTTAAATTGTGCTGAAATACATCTAAAAATACACTGATGACTTCTCCGCTGTTGCTTTCTATGCACATAATTGTCACTGGGTGCCCGTTAGCATGACTTCAGTGGGGTGGCAGAGACGCTTGAGAGGTCTTACTGTATTTGCACAGACCTTTTAAGTTTGGGCATTTCCTTCTGCAGGTAGGATGTGGTTGGAGCACAGCTGCTTTGCGTCCGCACAGCCTGACACTTCTTCACGTGACTGAACTGATGTAGAATAGGGGGTATCAGTGCTGTGCTTTGTTGCATGGTATAGACTCGCAGTGCGTGATCTTTGACAGGAGAGTTTTTGGTATGGCTCAGTATGCTGTAACGAAGCAACGCACGTTTGGCTGACATGAGCACCACGCTTGGTACCGTCTGTTGAATTAAACAACAAGCCTGAGCACCGTTCTTAATGTCATTGGACCAAAGGTTTTCTTTTGGGGCCAAAATATAATGCAACCTTGAGGTGATTCACTGTGGAACTGTGCATGATAGTACGGAACGATGATAACGCAGTCGTTACTTCTGTTTGCCGGTTGGGCGGATAGGTGGGTGACTCAGCCTTAGTCACTGATCAGCTCTTTTATGGCCTAGTCCAAGATGCCTTTTGGGAGAGGATGGAAGGAAATTGAAAGAGGAAACAAGATGGCATGGGTCCAGCATTAGGCTCGTGCTGTCAACATGTTGACTAAAGCTGCCAAAACAATGTGTTCTGTATGTGTCATCAGAGCCCAAGTGAAATGTCATACCATTTATTTGTGTGTTTTATACGTGCTGATAGGGAATAATTACTGTGTATTTCAACTGCCAAAACCTGTTCCTGTGGTTTTTGAAGGAATCATTTATGTAGGGCCAGGAGGGAAACAGGACACAGGGTGAAAGTCGCTAATTGTAAGATTTGTTTTAAAAGGCTCACGTTTTCACGTTTTTCACTGTGAAAAATGCTAATTTGCTAGGTTAAAGGCTAGACGAAGTAATCAAAGATATATTGATCTGTAGAGATATGTAGTAGAAACACTACAATTGGTACGAAGGAGGTTTGAATGGAAACATGTATGTGTGAACACCAGAAGGAATCTTGATAGAAGGGACAATAGGATGGCATGTGTTGGGGGTACTTGGATCAGTTGGTCATCAAGATATTGTCACACATGCATGTTGTTTCTCCAAAAGCCTGTATGGGGGTGGGGGAGCAAAAAAAGAGGCTGAAGGCTTTGAAATAAGGTGTCAGTGGTATGACTGGAACGGTACGGCAACCTAGAGAAGAAGATGTATGGGTGGTGAGTCTGGCAGCATTGTTGCCTCACGCCTCAGTGAGACAGAACGAAGAGGCAGATCATCACAGTTGCTGTCAACCTGTAGTACGAATGTCACATCCAAAGCCAGCATGTGATGACCAGCCGAGAAAACTCTAGAGAGGTGTTGAGATTTGTTGAAGGGCTGGTGTCCCTTGTTGTCTCTGTCACCCAAAGTAATTCTGGACAAACTGCTAGGCCATATGTCTGGGTACTTGTGTGTGTGAGGGAGAGAGTGAAAGCTACCATTTCACTTGATACTTTCTCTTAATTTTGTTTAAAATAAGATTACCTTTCTCTCCTGTCCTAACACTGGGCTTTACTGTCAGTTGCTGCACACGTGTAGTTCTTCGTTTTAACCTTCCACATGCTCCGTACATGCGTAGGACAGTTACACCACTGCAAGGAGCAGGACTTGCCCCAGCGTGCAGCCTCACTCGCCCTGAGGGGTGTGAGCCATTCTGCTGCCCCTCTAACGGCGCGCGTCTCCGAGAGCAGCAGTGGGTGACGCTCTTGGTGCCGCCTGTCCCTGCTGTGAGTGGAATAAAACGAGCTCTGTAGTGACACAGCTGGACTGTGAACTGTGCCAAGACTATGGCTTTGCCTACACAGTTGTCTGTCCTCGCTGGCTTTCACGTACGTCTATTGTCCTCTCTTGATTTGTTCTTCAGTAGCTCCCGATCTACAAGCATTTTCTTTAGCAGTATTCAAATACCACGTGACACAGCTACCTGCAGACTAGAGAATGGGTCGGTCCTTAATTCTGATTGTATTACTTGGTATGTGCTCAACGTTTTGGTTGCGTTTCTTTTCGTTGAACTCTGTATGTAACAAAACCAAATTATCATCTGCCGTGTTGGTGCCCAGTACTAACTGGAATGCTGGAGTCCTACCAGCAGTAGCGCAGAGCTGTGTGCAGGTCAATGTAGCGTTGAGCAGCGCAGTACAGGAGCTGGTGAACGTGGGACTCTGCTACCATAGCAGCCTCGAGGAAGTTCATGTATCAAGCCTTCCACTGCAAAGCTGGTGTGGGTGCAAAACACTGGAAAAAATAGGCTTATTAATGAATTAATTTATTTTTTAATGCCTCACAGTGCTCCAGGGTAAGGCTAAGAAAAGGAGGCACTGAAATAACTGTCTGACAGGGCTACAGAATACCATACATAGACTTGGAAAAAAAGGACCAGATGATCTGGTTTTCATTTGTGTTTTGTAATCTGAAGCAAAACATCAACACTTCTCTGTCCTCTGGTGAAGATGCTTGCATGCTGGCAGCGTTTTAGATACTTTAGTGCAAGATGGTTGATACAGTAAACAGTCAAACCCAAACTAAAACGAAGCATTTAATCTCTTAATAGCTGATAGAGAAACTCTGGGGAGAGATGATGTATACTCTTTCCATATTTGTTGTTATATTTTTATATTTTAATTACTTTTCAACAGTCCTTCAAGTAATCTTAAATTTAGGGAAACTGAACTGTTGCTACAGTTAAAAGAAATTCTTATTTAGTTAAAAGTTGTGTATGTTTTTCTTTCCCTTGAATCTTCAAGGTCATGCTGCAGAAAAATCTGGTTTAAACACTCAGTGCTGTATGAAACAAAGGCAAGGCAAGGAATTACTTAGTGTTAAGAAACCAGAGGCTCTAACTGCTTCTTACAAACCCTTGAGGCATAGTTTCAATGGAGACTAATTAGCTTTTTTCCCCTGTAAGAAAGTAAAAAGGACTTAAAATTGGAATGTGTTGTGTGTGCATCAGCCTGTTAAAATGTTACTTGTTCTGTAAGGAAAAATGCCCTTTTAACTTATGGGCTAAAATGTTCCTATGACATTATTAGTGTTTTAATGAGCTCCAGATCTAAGTGTTAATCTGTCAGACTTTCATTTAGTAATTACTTGAAAATTTTAATCTGACTGAAGCTAGTGTTGTTTTCCAGAGGCCTTAGCGTTGTCCCGGATGAAGAAGTCATTGCAATGTACGATGGTTCCCATGTCCCTTTAGAACAAATGAGTGACTTTTATGGAAAGGTAAGACCACAAATTGCACTGTAAAAGTAATTTTTTTGGGTGGGTGTGTGTAGTGGTGTTTGCATTTTGTTCTCCCTAGCAGCTGTATTTTCTCAATACGTAGTTGACGTACAGTGCTAGATGTGGTTTGCCCTCTGAAGTGAGAGGTGTCTCCTCTTTCTCCCACTTGGTGCAGTTTCTTCTGTCGCTGTTTCCTCACTGGGTCATACGGAAGGAGAAGTGGAACAGGAAAAGTCAAGTGACTTGCTCAGTGTTGCACAGCAAATCTGATAAAGGCTGGGAAGCGAGCCATGTCTGGTGCCTTACCCCGGCTGTGTACTTCTTCCCACTGGTCTAATGGCTTCACTGATGTGGCAGCATGTGTGGAGGCATCTCTTGCACACAGGCTGTCAGAGTGACAGTTGGAGAATTTGACGAGATAGGAATGATAAAAGATATTTTGAGTTTAGGATTTGAATTTGGTGGGGGAGGTTGATCTCTTTGCTGATAGGTTCCTTCTTCTTTCCTGAATGAGGAACAGTGTTGTCTTCTTAGTAAAAACCAGCTTTATTTTAGCCCTTTTTACTTATGGATGTTAATTCCATGTTGATGTGAAAGGCCCTTCTTTGTGCTGTAGAGCATTTTGTTGTTCTTGCACTTGCTCTTATTTTAAGGAGCTGCATTTAGAATACCCAAATCTGGTCTCTGCAGCAGTGTTGAGTATCTCCCTGTGGGATGCCTTGGTCTCTGCAGGTCTGTGCTTGCTTTGATCTTGGAAAGGACAGTGACAGGACAAGAGACTGTGGGCACAAGCTGAATCACAGGAGGTTTCCTTTACTGTGAGGGTGACCGAGCATTGGTACGGGTTGGTTGTCCAGGAAGGTTGTGGAGTCTCCATCCTTGGCTATTGAGAAGCCTTCTGGACAAGGTCCTGGGCAACTGGCTCTAGGTGGCCATGACTGAGCAACCTCAGCTACTCTCTGTTTCTGTGATCTCGACCAGTGTGCTGTCTTGAGCTGGCTGCTTTACCTCTCTCTTCCTCGACAAGTATTTGGTTTGTATTTACTCTTGTATAATGAGATTCTCTGCTTTCATGACACTTGAGTTACAGCTTTTGCAGACTAGAAATCTTTTCCTTTGTTCCTGCATGAGTAGTTGTAGATTCTTACAATTTTTTATTATCCCTTTTCAAGGAGGTAAATGGTTTTGCAGTCCTAATCAGTATTCCACTTACTAAAAAAATACAAAATCTTCACCCCTCCATCACAATACCCAGTGCCTCTTATAGAAGTGCAGACTTCCCATGATGACCCCTAAGTCATTCTCTTGACTTTTAGCTGAGCGCTTTCATGTGTTTATGAATTAAAATACTGCTCTTAAGAGTAATGAATCATGATTAATTTTTAAAATAAAGCCAACACTTTTGCTGGAGTTATTTTATTGAAAGTCTCTTAGTTCAGAAAGAATCTAAAGCAATGTGAACAGTAGTGGCAAAAGCTGCAACTCAGCTGAAGTGTTTATACTGATGAATGAAAGTATTCTCTTTTGAGAAACACCTGACCTTTTTTCTTCTTCCCATCCCTGTAGAGCTCACAAGGAAATACAATGAAGCAATTCATGGATATATTTTCCCTGCCAGAAATGACACTCCTTTCTTGTGTGAATGAATATTTTCTGAAAAACAACATAGATTACGAGCCAGTTCACTTGTACAAAGATGTCAAGGTACTAGCTTGGAACATTTACCTCAACCTCTGTGTTTGTGCATCTTCTCTGTGAGCACTTCAGGAAGCTTCAACATGTTGTGTCAGCTCCAGTGAAATACTTCAGGTTTTGTATAAAGTCATTATTGCTGTACAGTCATAAAAACATAAGTAAAATGAAGGTAGACCTGGGAAAAGAAACACAGAATAATTTGAACGTTTGATTTAAATTTGATGTTCTAGGTCTGTTGCTCTTTCTGTAGGTTTGAGAGGTGGATAAGGGGGAAAGTGAAGAAGCTCTTTTTCGTTGATAAAGCTTCTTTGGATGTTTTGTATAAAGTCATTATTGCTGTACAGTCATAAAAACATAAGTAAAATGAAGGTAGACCTGGGAAAAGAAACACAGAATAATTTGAACGTTTGATTTAAATTTGATGTTCTAGGTCTGTTGCTCTTTCTGTAGGTTTGAGAGGTGGATAAGGGGGAAAGTGAAGAAGCTCTTTTTCGTTGATAAAGCTTCTTTGGATGGTTATTAAAGCCGTGCAAACAGCAGTGCAGGAATTGTGCGAGACTATAGGGAACTCCATTTTTGAGCTTTCAGTTGTACTGCCTCTGTGTCTTTTCTAGCATATGATCATTTGCTGTCTCTTTCTTTTGGCATATCTTGCCTGTTTTCCTCTCTTCTTTCTCAAAAAAAACCCAAACCAGTAGTGATGACTACAGTAATTTGACCCTCTTCATTCCTCAGGATGTATCCTGCAGAGGAGTTAACTCTATGTCACAGTTACTTAAGAATAGAAGAGGTCATGCTCAGGTTGATGGCATTTGTCTGCACAAGCTTTCCATCCAAAACCTTTTCCTGGCCCCTTGTTGATGTGCAGGAAATGTGTAGTCGAACACCTGAACGTTGAATTTCTCACTTTCTGAGGTAGATCAGGGGTTTTAAGGAACTCTTAAACTCCAGAGTAATTTTCCCTTCTGCCTGTGGTTATGTAGAGTCAGAAGGCTGTTTTTTTTGTGGTTTCTGCTAAAGTGTTTGTAGAAACTTTTGTACTGCTCAGCATCACCAACATTTTGGAAGCCCAAGAGTGGCATTTTTTGGGGATTTTTAGGACAATACCCCATGTAAGCACTGAAGTGGCAGACCATTGTCCTAGAGAGTGGTCTGGTGCAGAGCTGGCTCAGGAGAGCTGCTGAATGCCTTCAGAGCTCCTTATGGGTTCTCTGCTCAGGCATTTCGCTTCTGTCTGTTCATAAATTTTGTTTTTTAAATAACCAGGGGATTTGGGACTGAACATAAGCTAAAATCTATCTGACTTAAAGCTTTTGGGTTGTGAGTTTTTTTTCAAGAGGAAAGGAATGTGTTCTGCTCCAAAGATCATTAGAAATCTGGGATGGCTTTGCTTTTGCAGTGGGCTTTCACCCCGCTTCACCCTTCTGAGCACCCTTGTGCTGCTGTTATGTAAAAGAGCCTGTGCTGGGCAGGTTTGTATTCCCCCAAAGTATGAAGTCAGTTTCTTGGAGGACAGGCTCACTCTTTGTCTAGTGGTGACATGTGCATAATGAACATTGTGTGGCATTTCTGTGAAGTTGAAAGTGTAATTCAGAGCAAGGAATTGTTTAAAAACCAAATCACTGCTGTGCAGTGAGCACAGGTTTTATAGTTGAAAAGCCTTTTCAGTTCTTCATTGCTCTGTTGCTTTCCTGACAGGATTCAATCAGAGATGTCCACATCAAAGGAATAATGTACAGAGCAATTGAAGCAGATATTGGTAAGTACTAATGAGATCATCTGTCAAAGCTTTTTTTTTCCCAGATAGTATAATGATCTTTCTGGATTCCTTATTTAAGATGACAGATTCTAAATTTTGAAGCTTGAAAGAGTTATTTCCACTTGTCTAAGGTGCCTTTGTTAAGCATAACCTTGTGTTCTGAACCCTTGGTTGAATGCAGAGAAAATTCTACTGGCAAAACTTTTCAGTTAGTGTTGTTTTTTCCCCAATCCTCACAGAGAAGTACATCTGCTATGCAGAACAAACTCGTGCTGTGTTAGCAAAGCTGGCTGACCACGGCAAGAAAATGTTTCTCATCACAAACAGTCCCAGCAGCTTCGTGTGAGTTGTTCCTGTTCAACTATATGTTTTTAGAGGATGGGGAGGGTGAGGTTCTTGAATGTAATTCATTGTGTTGCACAGATAACTGCACTTCTGTTAAGTCTCACTGTTAATATCCCCCTGCCCTTTATAGGGACAAAGGCATGAAGTTCATAGTTGGCAAGGACTGGAGGGATCTTTTTGATGTGGTCATCGTACAGGCTGATAAGCCAAACTTTTTCAATGATAAGCGAAGGTGGGTATTTGGTCGGTAAAGAATGATTCAAGCAGTTTATTTCAGGTAAGGCTATAGAGCGTGTTAGGAAATATTTTAATTTGGAAGCAATGTAAAATGAAATCGTAGTTGAAATCCCGTTTGAGGTCATTACAGAATGCAGCAACACCCCGTACTGAAGTCCAAATATTTACCATTTCTTACCTAAGAAAAGTTTCAGCAGCTATTACAGGTCTGCTGGACTGAGTTAGGGTCACAAAAGCTGCTTTCAACATCTTGGCTTGTAACTTGGAGTGTGTTCATTTCCTAAGCAATCCGAGAAATTTTGGTGCCTTCCAGAATCGGCCCCTTATCTGGAAATGTCTTTCATTGCTTCTGTTTTTTTTAGTCACACGTGCTGTTTAAAGGACAGACGGGCTGACAGACTGGAGTATTTGGACTAGTTGTTCAATTAAATAAACACATTTTTAATGTGTAGGCACTATTCTTACACTTGAAAAAGACCTCTTCCTTTATGTGTACTTATGATTTGAAAGCAAGGTAGAGGAAAGTGGGATTTTCTGTCATTTAACCTTAAAACCAACTTTGCTATATGTCTTTCCCCAGACCTCTGTCGCCTTCTTCAGTTGTTCAGTTGTACAGACTGAGGTATTGGGCAAGATGTTTACACATCTTCACTCCTTTTGTGCTCTCTACTCTCCTCCTTAATGGCAGACTGCTCACCCTGTTCTTCCCCTTTGTCTGGGAGCACTGCCTTAGCTCTCAACAGTTGTTCTGAGTCCATTATAAACGCCAGAGGTGTACTGGATAGGTACAGGGCATTTCACTGGCCAAAGCTGAAGGTTTGGGGCTTTTTCCCTTCTATTACAAAATGTTGAGGTGCTAGAGAGCATGTTTTCCTTTTGAAAGGTGAATATGTTCGATATTAAAAATTTTAATCTCCTCCTAAAAAGTGACAGAATTTCTCCAGCAATGTAACGATGGTATACGATTCTATTCTAGACCGTTCCGGAAGGTGAATGAAAGGGGAGTGTTGCTCTGGGACAAAATTCACAAGCTGCAGAAAGGTCAGATTTACAAACAGGTATGCTTTCAATAAACTCAGTTCAAATGGGAATACGTATTTCCTAGAATCCCAAGCTTCTTTAGGCATTATAAAGGCTTCTCAAAAGTAGATTTGAGTTTTGAGAGTTGTTTTAATGACTGAAGTGATTCATTGTTGGTATTGTATTGCCTGCCTGCAAACTTTTGGCATTCATAATCTGTGAATTTAGGACAAGATTCTTGGTATGAAAATGTTTTTAGGTATGTGCTAAATTAGCTTTTCATAGAATCACAGAATGGTTTGGGTTGGAAGGGACCTTAAAGACCATCCAGTTCTAACCCCCCTGCCATGGGCAGGGACACCTTCCACTAGACCAGGTTGCTCAAAGCCTCATCCAGCCTGGCCTTGAACACAAGGATGGGCATCCACAGCTTCTCTGGGCAACCTGTTCCAGTGCCTCACCCCCCTTTCCAGGAAGAACTTCTTCCCTGTATCCAATCTAAATCTCCCCACTTTCAATTTAAACCCGTCCCTCCTTGCCCTGTCACTACAGGCCCTTGTAAAAAGTCCCCCCCAGCTTCCCTGTAGCCCCTTCAGGTACTGGATTTTCACGCCTGTGAAGCCGCAAGTTGCGTGCCGCTACAACGTATGTGTCATTGTTTCTGCAGGGTAACCTGTACGAGTTTCTGAAGCTCACCGGCTGGAGGGGCTCTAAGGTTCTCTACTTCGGTGATCACATTTACAGTGACTTGGCAGTAAGTAGTTTACTTGCACAAAATGGGACCAAATAGGAGGCTTTTTGTTAGTTTCTCCTCTCTTCCTCCCCAGTTGTTCGTTATAACACACATTGATTTGGGATTTCTAAGTAGAACAGCTTGGGTTGATAGTCAAGCCGTATTGCTTTTCTTGCAGTGAAGAAAATAGGTGCTGTAAGAGGCAGATCATGTTTTCCACCCGACTTGTAGCGTTTAACTTGTTTACCAGCTCTGCTCAGGAACATGTGAGTTTGTATTCCTGATCCAGATACTGATTGTGTCAGGTGTAACAGAGAATAAACAGAGATACCCAAACGTACAGGATGTGGCTGATTTGGATGAGATTTACTACCAGATGTAATGTGAGCTGAATGAACTTCTGATTTGCGTGCAGGAGGCACTCTTCCTGTCGCTAATGGTGAAGTTTCTTTCTGTGGTTTGTAGCCCCACTGTCCAGGCATCATCTTACTACTTTATGAACAAATGTACTGTTAACTATTACTTTGGAGTAAGTGACCACCACTTAACTCTCTTATAACTGACTGCGTAGGAATGCCTGGATATGCCTTTACCCTGTGGTAACATGTTTCAGCACCAGCAGATCTTAACATTTTTACCCTGATCTGGTTTTTAAAAGAAAAATAAGTTGGGGTGCTTCAGAAGGCTGAGGGCCAAAGGAGGGAGGGCACAGCCCTGTTCTTCTCTGGCACAGTGGCGGAAAGAGCACAAGCAAGCAATTGCTTTGTCTGTACTTGTCAGAAGGAGCTTGAATAGCTGGGGGTCCTGATAGGCCCCTTCTGTTGGCTGAGCATATGGGTAAATACCAAAAATCCAACACGTGGTTTCTTCCAGATACTCCTGACAGCAGCAGAGGCCTCATCTACAAGAGGAATTTCCTACTGTTTGTTTTAAACCGAATGAATTAGTGCTTACGTGTTCTTTATCTCTCTCTCTTTAAAAATGTGGGGTTCAAAGCTAGCTTTGAAATTGGATTCTATTGCCTGTTGGCACAGTTATGTCCTGCTGTTTAATATTTCTGCTTATACATAAGAAGCAATTAAATTAGTGCTCCTTTGGGATAAACAATGGTCAGATTCTTTAGTTTTTTCAAGTAGTTCTTTTTAAGACTAATACTTGTAATTATTCTTGGTAAATAGGATTTGACCCTGAAACACGGCTGGCGCACTGGTGCCATTATTCCAGAGTTACGGTCAGAGATTAAAATCATGAACACAGAGAAGTACATTCAAACCATGACCTGGCTGCAAACCTTGACAGGATTACTGGAACACATGCAGGTTTGTTCTGTGTGTATGTGTAATCGGCTCCGGGTAGCAGAAGGGCTCCAGCCAGGTTTCTGAATGTTGGACGTTGACATTGCAAGCGTTTTCTGTCTCATTAAAGTTCACCGGTTTGACTGTAGATAAATAAATGTCATTATTTGTGTGTGTAGTTAATGATAGCTTTACCAAAATCTTGTTCCCTTCCTCCACTTGTCAGCCTGGATTGACTCCTGCTTTAGGTTGTTTAAAATGCGTGTGGCCGACACTTGTGTACTCGAAAGCATTGCTCTTGGCCTGTTTAGCTGGTAAGGGTTTTTTAAGGAAAAGGCTCATTTGCAAGGGCATCCTTAGTCACCTGTCATCCATACTTTACATTCCAGGTTCACCGTGATCCTGATTCGCAAATGATTTTAGAAGAATGGAAGAAGGAAAGAAAGGAAATGAGGTAAGACATGGGAGATGAAGAATTAGCAACATGCTTCATTGTAGCCAAGTGTGCTGTTGTGGCATCTTCTACAGGTTTCTTCAGAATTTCTGTCCATCCCTGATGCATATTCCGTGGTAGTTACAAACCTTCTAAAACTCTCTGCGTAAAGCAGTATTCTACCTGCACAGCTCTTCTCCCCTCTGACCCTGTTCCCCTTCTTTGGAACAGATGTTAGTTTTCTGCAGGAAAGGGTAACGTCGGATCAAATGCATCCTGTTTCTCCTGTCCCGCTGTGTTCGGCTGTCACCGTTGCTGTTGATTGCACAGCTTAACTTCTGCATGGTTTAAAAATGTGTTTCTGTAGCAAGACAAGTCACTGCAGGTTCTTCAGATGATTTCTTCACATTGTTCATGTTCTAAAATGTATCGTATGTAGCAACTAGGCTCTGCACTAGTCTGGATTTAGCAGTGGACTCATCACAGAGATAGGTAATAGGGTTAAAACTCCTAAAAAAACCCTACTATCGTGAAGGGTCAGTCCCTAAATGCAGGGTGTGTAAAGTGCACAGTTGGCAAGGCCAGCAGGTGTACCACCAGCAGCCTTCCCCAGAAACGTGGAAGTGGATGGAAAGGGAATGATACTTGGCAGTGACTGACAACACAAGTTAATTCCAGACGCATTTCAGCTTTTTGCCTGCACTAAGCCAAATTTGCATTTTTTTAAACATGTCTTTCATCTTTAGGACTAGTGGATGTTGTTAGGACTTAGATGAAGGCAAAAGTCGTCTTTCACAATCTCTAGGAAGAAAAGCCTAGGAAGGTGTCATGTTTCTGAAGTCAGAAGCAACTTATCACTGGTTTTAGTGGGAAAAGTGTGAATCTCTTCTGGTCACTACTGTGACTGCTGGGTCTGGGCTACGTGTGTGCAAGAGATGCAGAAATTCCTTAAGTGGTGCATTTAAGTGGTTGGAAGTGCAATGGCAAGAGAACAATGCATGTGGCAGATGGTAGGACCTGCTTGCTTCAGGGTCTGGATGCTGGCCGGTAGAGGGATGTGTGTGTGGGTGTGCTCATCCTCTTTGTTTTCTTTTTTGGCGGGGACAGGGAGATGAACAGGAATTTCTTCAATGCACAGTTCGGAAGCTTGTTCAGAACTGATGAGAATCCAACTTATTTCCTAAGACGTCTGTCCAGATTTGCAGATATCTACATGGCATCACTGAGTTGTCTCTTGAACTATGAGCCTGATTACACGTTTTATCCCAGAAGGACTCCTTTGCAGCATGAACTTCCTGGCTGGTCAGACCAGCTGTGCACTGGTACATTCAGAATACCTTTCCTACAAGACACAGCTCAGATCAAATAAGCACTCGGCTTGTTCTCTCTAAAATGGGCAAATATATATAGATTTTTTTTGAATGTACATGTATTTTATTTAAGTCACTTAAAAATCTGTTGTCTTGATTTAGATGTAATTCATACTCGTTTGCATAAACATTGTACCCGTTTTCTCCGCTCCTGCTCGGAGATGTGAAAACTCCTCCTACACTCAGAAGGGATGATGGACTGCCGAAACAGCAGTGGGCTGGGGGGGAGGGCAGGTTGGAAGGGAAGGCCTGGTGGTGTTCTGGGGTGGGTGGTTGTGTGTGTGTTCATTGGAGGTGTCGATCCGCAGCTTGGTGGCTTACAAAGGAACACCTGTGCTCTCTGCTCCGGCCCTGACCGGGGCTCCAGCCGGAACCTGTAATGGGTCCTGGCCCGCCAAGCTGTAGTGCAGTGTTAGTAGTTCAGTGATAGACAGCCAGTAGCCAGCGTGCCGGGAGGCTGAGGGGTGGTGTACGCATTAACTCCCCGTCCTGCCTCAGCCCGAGCCTGACCTGTACTGAACCTGCTGGTGCGGCCCCGCTGCACTGCAGTGATTGCAGCGCTGGCGGCTCAGACCGGAGGGGCTTTCCCTCCTGTCCCTGTGGTCTCTGTCCTCCTGGAGCCTGTGCTTGGCTGTAGGTGGACCTGAGCCTAAAACTGAAAGCGGCGGTAACTTGGGCTGCTTCAGCTTCTGTTTTGTGAACTTCTAGGCACCTTTAAGTTTCAAATCACTTTAAATATCCACCCACACTCTGATAATAAAGCCATTTCAAAAGGTCTTACATTTTGCATTTCAGTGGGGAGACAGGTCCGTGTCAGGCTTTAGATTGATCCTAAATGCTGCTTTTTAAAATTTTAAGTGTCTTACAGTGGTACACAACGTGATTTTGCTGTTCCTTAGGAGAGAATGTATTTCATAGAGCCTTCGGTTAATGGGCTTTAACAGTCAAAAGTAAACATGCACAACGGGCAGTTGAGATGGAAGAGAAATTAAGAAATGAGGAAATGAAACCCAGAGTTTTCTAAGGACATTTTTTTAGTTCAAGTCCTCAAAGGTGAATTGGGGGAGGTGGGCAGTTTGCATCAATCAAAATAATTTTGGTGGTGCAGATTAGAAGTTTTATTGAATTACTGCAATTACAAGTGGAGCATGAACACAAACTCTGGGTAGTGTATGTGTTCCAAAGATCTGAGCTGGAAAATACCTATTTTGCACAAGGAAAACATCTGTTGATGTCTTTCCTCTAACAGGCACTTTATAGAACTGCTGTAAGTTGTTTTTAAATAAGGATGCTTTCCTTTCTCTGCATCCAAAGGAAACTTCTTTTTCTTTTAACTGGTGCTTCCCGCCCCAGCCATTTTAGAAGGCATAATATGATTAATATTATTCAAATTTTAGTTAAAGGCTCTGTTTTTAAAAGCATATAGTTAACAAAACATACAGCATTTGGTATTCTTCATTTTGGGATATCACTTGCTTCCTACCATGATTGTCAGATAAACAAACTTTTGGTGACCAAAAGTTTTCTTGTGTTTTTGGTTTTTTTTTTACCTGTCTGTATTACAGGCAAGTACCTATATTGAATGTCATATGCAGGATCTTTCATATTTTTAAAAGCATGTTTGCCGAGTAAAGAATGTATTCTAATCTAGCCTGCACAATTCTATAAGCAGCTTTTCCTGTATGCTTGAAATCAGTCTGAAGTCCCCAGAGACGGTTAGGGATCTTGTTTGTGGTCTTCTTGTGCTCCTGTTTCAGACTTGACGTGCAGCGCTCCTGAAGAGTGCATGTGTGTATTTAAAGAGATGAATATACTTGAAATGAGTAAGTTCATCTGGCAGCCCTGCTGTTTTGCTGGGGGATAAAAAGAAAAAACAGTTCTGCAGGAAGCTGGTTTGGCTTTATCAGGAGACTTGTTGGTGGGGCTGCGTGAGAAATGTTTAGCATAACTTGATAATGAAACGTGGGGATGGAATTATCCCCGATTTGCCTTCAGTTCTTTATCCTAATGCTCAGCTAGAACCGAACTTGGGTGTTACATGTGTGTAGCACCTCTTGTGCTCCAGAGATTGCAGTGCACTGTTTAAAAAAAAAAACCAAACCAACCCAAACCCACTGTACATTCTCCATCTTACTACCAGCCAGTAATGATACTGTGTTATTCAGTTCCACATCACTGAATTTAAGACTTTGTTATAACTCTGACGTTTCCTCTTTTAGAGCCGGCTAGGAGTCAGTTTGTTTGCCCAATTTTCCTGTGTTAAGCAGGAACAGTTTAATTGGGTTGGCTGATGTTATCCGTAGCGCACACATTTCGTTTCAAGTTGATGTTCTCCTCTCCCCTTCCTCTAACTTGCAAATCAGACTTGTGTACAGAGCTATACCACAGCCAGCTGAAGTGAAACCTTGCTTATATTGCATGACCTCTTGAAATAAACACCACTGCATGGGAAAAAAAATCATTATGGGAGAGTTATGTTCCGTCAAAACATCCCAACTATGTAGAATATGAATTTAAGGGAGAATTGGAAAGTGTATTATTTATTTTTTCAGTGCTAGAATGTTCCTCTTCAACTTCCAAACTGTTTTGGATTGATGTAGTGATTTCACTCTGGTGCTCCCTGCGTTGCTGATTTTCACCTTGTTATGTCACCGACTTCCAAGATGGTTTTGAGCGTGTTTAAAGCGTAGCATCTCTTTGTATTCATTTTGGGAGTCTAGTTCATTTGATCACCAAAGCAAGAAGAAATTTTCATTCTGATCTATCAAAAACACGGGAGAGGACAATTTGTCACTTGAAGAGTTTAATGAGCTGTGGAACTTCTTTTGTGATAAAAATATTTAATGATTATTACAAAAATAAATGCTTGGACTTTATCTCTGGTCCTTACGAGTCTTAATATCTTGGGTGGGTGGGGAGAAGGAAGGAATTGTGAGTTGTATTAATTGCAGAACTCTGGGGAAGACTCCCCTAAGTATGTGTGTGTTTTAAGTGTTGGTTTTCTAAATCTCTTAATATCTTAGGGGTAAAAACAGGCCGGCATATTCAGGGGGGCAAGGGAAGGAGTTAGGGAAGTTACTTTGGTCCACCTCTTTTTCATCCAGGCATATTCGCAGGTGAGATTCCCTTGGCTGTGCTTGATAGCTCTTTGGCAGCCCTGGATTTGCCTGCATACCTGGTTCTGACAGGAGGTGTGCTGGGGGTGCTCGCGGAGGTAACTAACGCTTTCCTCAGGGACACCGGGCGTGTGGTAGGCACCAGGAAGCTCATGGATGCGACGGGGCAAGGCTCTGTTCATCTTCATTCCCCATTTACCACAAAAATGGATAACTATTTGCTCTCGTATCACCTGTATTTCTTGCTAAAGCTGCTACAATTACTATTTCCCTTCTGTACAGTGAGGTGAGATGTAAACAAAACATGGTCAAGTGGGAGGAAAGACAGAAAAGCTGGAGTGGGCAAGCGGGGCAGACGGGATGCTTGCGTTCCCTGCTGAAATTCTTACCAGGAAGTATACTAGCAAAAAATCCCTGAAGTTTAAAAATAACAGGTTTAACACCTGTTCTGTTTCACACTTGCCTGTTGTAGTTGTAACTGAGCCAAAACGAAAGCGCAGGGCTGGAGTACTAACAAATTGAGGACGTTGGCCAAGTTAGTAGGACGTTTGAGGCCGTTGTAAAATCGGTGCAGAGTAATAGAAGCAGTTAAGGGACAGGGTAGAGAAAGTCGGACTTCTCTCAGTCTATTTGCTTCTGGGTAGGTGAGTTGAGAGTCAGTTTTGCATTTGGCACTCAACAGCTTGTGTTGCTCGGATACAGCCAACGCTCCGGAGGGAACTGTCGGCTGCATCTTTAAGCTGTGCTCTTTTGGCTTTTCATTTGTAATGAGATTTTACTCCTCAAACGAGTCGGAGCTGTTTTTTCACAGGAAGTGTAAATAGGAATGTGTTTTATAACGGACTAATGCCAAATTCACTCTTTAATTCTGGTCATGAGGACCACTCATCACAAGCTGCTGGTCATCTGAATCCTATAAAACAAAGGCAAAAGAAAATCAGGCTTGAACAATGTATTAAGAAAGAAAAGTCATGTTTTGGCAAACTTGTCCGTGCAGGTGGCAGAGCTTGCACCTGATGTTTTTGCACCAAACAAGTCTTACCATGGGGTGCAAAAAGTCTGGTTTTGATTTTAGACTCTGCGTGTACATGAGGATCTTGCTAAATGGGACCATGGAGGCTGTTAAGCTGTTCCAGCTTTACTCCAATTTAATTACTCCAGTTGGGAGTCCAGTTTAATTCTGCTGGCTCTGAAGATAACCTTGGGATACAGCTGCAGACCGCAGACCCAATTTCTAGCAGTGGTGAGGTGGGAAAGCAGGAACTCGAGAATAGGTTTTGCCCAAATTAATCTCTCTGTGTTTTCAACTAGACATTTTTCTTTCACGCAGTCATTCCCTCTCAGCGTTACTTTAGCTGTGCCCCGCTCTCAAATCAACACGAACACTTACGGAGAAGAGATCGTACGTAGGTTCTGGTGGAGTCAGGGCAGAAGAACTTTCGTACGAGGGGTTGGTGATATTTGAAGGCCGTGACTTGTCCAGCGACGTTGCGTCGGTGTCATCTTTCGACTACATAAATCACATAAACCTCCTTAAAATCCCAACTGCATTAGGCGAGGCACTGGAGCTTCCCTGTGACCAAACTGGCTTTATCACCTGGGTCAGGGTATCCGGGCACGAGCCGTCCCCTGGGTGGTTGTGTCCTCGCGGGTCACTTAACGCCAGTACCTTTTCATTCTCTCCCTTGCTGCTTTACAGCCTCAGCAAAGACCGGGAGAGGGAGTGTTGCCCCGACATCAGCACCCTTTCAGTGGTGGCAATCACCTGCCTCCCTGTGGGGGAGCTTTCAGGAGGGGCAGATGCTTCTGCACTGGTGCTGTGTGGTCAGCTGGGCTTTTGGCCAGCCCGTGGTGTTGGGAGCGGCTGGCAGAGCAGGAGCCCG